TCCACTGGAACAGCTTCCTGCTCCTCGTCTGGTTGCAAAAAGCAACAGAAGTGTAAAAATAACAGGTCCTTTGAAAATGTTTTTGTAAAGATGATGCATCTTAGAATAAATTCCTACACAGTTGGACAAAGAAAAAAAAAGGGCAATACCATTTGCTAAAAAAATTACCAGCCGCCTGCTATTTTGGAGACCTCTCCTCTGGTTGCAGGCACCTGCTGTGCCACAGTATATTCTCAAATACATCTCAACAGTAACACTGCTTGCCAGCAGCTAAGTCCCCACAGGAGGGAACCTGCAGTCCCTGTCTTCACAGGAACTGGGGGTTCCTTCCAGGACAACATTTGAATGAAAATTCAAATAAATTCACTGTGAGCCTCTTTCCTTGTTCCATCTCTGCTCATGTCTATCACACCACCTCTTGCTTTCTTCCTCCTTCACTCACTCCCTCCCCTTAACTACATTTTCTTATTCCCTCTCCCCCCAGCATCCTTGCCTCGCTCACTCTGCCACAACACAAGGTTTAGTCTTGATTCCTTAACTTGTTATTTTCATGGCTTCTGAAATGTATTTTCCTTCTCACTCTGCTCTGGTCGTGCCTCTGTGTATCACATGCTCTAAGCTCAAAATCCTGAGGTAACTCTTTCAGAACAGCACTGCTTTGAGAGACATGAGATCACCAAATCCCTCTACCACATCCTGGTGGCTGTGCCAACCTCTCACCACCTGCAACAGCTCCTCCCTCCGGCCTTTGTGCAGGCCACCATCCTCTCCCTCCCATTGCCCCTTCACCCTTGCCCTGCTCCTCACACGCACCAGCTGCCTGTGACTCCTCTGGTGCCTCCTGCCACCACCCCTTCAACCAGAGGTCCTGTGAGCTCTGCTCGAAGCAATGCTGGGTACTGCCCCTAAGAGACAGATAAAAGCATCCTCAGAATTGCCACTCAGGGGCTTAGAAACACCTAGTTTCTAAGGCCAGGTCTTCCTCCTAACAAAAGGCAAATTATTTATTTGTCTTTGCCACAGATTTCTACCAGTAACATGGTGTTTGTATTCCAAAATGGTCTGAGGATACTTGTCTTTAAAGTCCGGCAAGCACTGAGCCTTTCTGCTGACAGGGAACATAGATGACTTTCCACAGGGTCCCCTTGGGAGCAGGAGATCCCAGTGCTGTCAAGTGGACATTTATAGGCACACACATTCAGCCTGCATTGAGCTTCTTTCCCAGCCTAGATATCAGCTTGGCGCCCATGCCACATGTGTTCACACAGGGCTCCTCCTTCTTTCAGGGGTGACCTCATGGGAAACTTGTCTTTCTTTCCAGGATTTCTTGAATTGCCTGCAGCATAAAAAAAAAAAGGAAAGTGGGACAGCTGGGAAGCAAGAAGAGGTAGATGGGATAGGAGGATATGCTGGGGATGGGGACACTGTCCTCTCATCCTCACTGCCCCAGCTGGCTCCAGACAGCACAGGCAGCCTCTGAGCTGCCAGAACTTGCTATAGGTGCTGAGCTAGGTGGGGGGCTTGTAGGAGCTTGTAGGTGGGGACAAGCAAAGGGTCTCCAGTGGTGTAGAAGATTGCCAATGCCAGGCCAGCAACTTTGATGTCAGCCCTAGTGCTAAGTGTCAGGTATGGCTTTCTGACAAACTTTGCCCTCTGTGCCACCCCAAGTGTGCCTTTGGCAACAGACCAAAGGGAAAGCAGGAGGAAGCACACAGATACCAGAAAGCTCAAGGTCCAGGCAGGCAACAGACCTGCACGCTTCAGACCAAGCAGAAAATCAAAGTCTTGGCAACAGAGGCAAGACCCTCCCCAGAGGAAGGGATGGTTCAGACTAGGGCAACACTGAAGCACAGAAGGAACTCCTTTACTCTTTCAATGAACCTCAAGGCACTTAATGAGGCCCCAGAGACACCAACATCTCACTGCAGCATCCACTCCATAGCTTTCCTGAAGGCCTCATTTACTGTAAACACCCTCTCTGACTCAGTCTCCAATGCATTTTTCTGTTGCACTAGCTTACAAAGACCACTCTCCACCAG